CAAGCAGCGTCTGCAGCAGCAATGTGATGCTGGCGCCATTTACAAGAACTTGTGACACCAGCCTGAGCTGTTTCCCCTGCTGCAAAAGTTGCAGCACAAACATTTGACGTGAAAAGTAATCACCCTGTCATTTCATTCCTACTTTCCTTTTTGCCCACTAAACTTTATTGTATGCACAACAAGTGTGTGTGCATAAGTGTGCAATGGGTCAGAGGGGAAGCTCGAATCCACATTTTTTTTGTTGTCTCATGTCTTATAACCTTCCTCCATAGAGGAATTGCTGGCAATTACAATAACCCCTCCCTGCCAAGGTCCGATAAGAGCAGATGGGCACACTGACTGTTTTATGGAGCCAATGATAGCGGCAGAGCCAGAGTTTGAAGTTGCCGGCTGGAATTATCTGGTACTGAGGTTTAGAGTAATTAAGAGCAGGGAATGGCCGCCCGACATTATTGCTGGATGAGTGGCAAGACTGAGAAACACCTGAGGCTTTTGGAAGCAGAACACATTGAAAGGGATCCCCTGAGATTTTGAGGTTTAGTGCTACAACTGCTGCTGCTGCTACCGCTGTCGCGACTGAACTGCTGTTCAGATTTTCACAATAACTCAAATGTATGGTTCTATTATACTGACATGTAATGGAGACAAACACTTCTAGGGTGAAAGGAGTATCTGGCATTGTGAGTTAGTGCTACCAAGTACTATTTATAGTCAGCTTGATCAAAAAGAAAATATTCTTCTGTAATGTGCATAATAAACAAAGTGAAAGAGAGAATTCTTTGCAGTGTTCAGTGCTACTGAAATATAAACCTCAACTTTCCCTTTCTGATGCAATATGTAATTATATATATATATATATATATATATATATATATATAGAGATATATATAAAGTGTAATAAAAAATCTCAATAAAAAAATCTGACAATAATGCATCATGGAAAAAAAAAATTGTGTAGTATCAAATACATTTTAATAGTTATGACTTCCAAAAGGGGCTGATTATTATTATTTGCATATAGAGTACAATAACTCTCAAGAAAGTCTCAACAATTGCCTAAAAATGTTGAAATGCTTATGGTCTTTAAAGACTCTGTCCAACTGAAGCTGCAGAAATCTAAACAGTTTGTGTGAAGCTGTTTAAACTAGGTTTTATGACCTACGAAGGTGTTTGGAGAAAGTTCTAAACAAGTAAATTTGTTCTTCCTCTTTCTAAAGACATTGTTAGCCAGGCATGTTTATTCTTCAGTTTATTTGTGTGTAGATGAACATCTGCTTTTAAGTTCAGTTACTTGAATGTAGTTCAAGATTTTCAAGACGTATGAATTATTGACAAATATATCAGGGATTTTGCAATCATAGCTTGTTTTCATTCCAACTTTAAACCTGCTATAATCAGATTTTTTACATTACAAATGAATCACATGACTGTGTGACTTGAAAGGTCCGGCTTTTATTGACGAACACAAAAATAACTATCACTCGATTCTGCAGTTCCCCTCAGCTCTAGAAAGTATTTTAGCATCTTTCAGCTCACTGTTAAGGTTTTACAGCCCACAAATTAACAGTTTGGATTAACTCTCACCAGCAGGCAGCTGTTTTCTTTGATAAACCCCACTGTACACTACCTGTGCAGTTAAACATTAGCTGGTGACCATAGTGGAGGATTAAGCAGCTAAAGAAACAGATATTTCCCCCAGGAGTTTTTAGAGGCCAAAAACAGAGCTAAAATGAGAGTGAATATTGGACTTCAATTCTCCAAGTGGACGGAAACACAAATCCACATGAAGGCTAATTTTGCTCCATATTTGCTAGATTTGTAAGTGGCAGTTGTTTGCTAACAATTTTGCCATATTAACAGCTTGTTTCTGCTGCCCCAAAGTGGTCAATGCATGTTTAAAATCATGAGTCCTGAACAATGAGTGTCTGCATCATCACATTGTTGCTACTGCCTTTACTAAGACTAAAAATAGAATATGTTCTCCTAACCCTGTATTGAGCTTTTGATCCATAAATCATAACTCACCACTGCTGTGGTGCCTGCAAACACTGTCAAACATCACTTTAATTTCTTATACATGTCAAATCCATGTAAATCAGTAGTGAGGTTGTCAGATGCATTCTGAATTACATGAAATGTGGGTCCACGCGGACTACAGACCTCCGTGAGCTTTTACAGGTTCACTGAATCCATTTGTATGTTGATGAAATATGCTGACACAATGCTGTAAGTGACGCTTAGTCCATTGATTCCGAGTCTTTTGTTACAAATACAATTACACTGGTTTGTTTCGTCTAACTCTCTCTGTCTGCTTGATAATGACCTTAAGCAGGAATCTCCCTCCTCCCATCCTTTCCAATCAATGCCACTTCTAGCGGTGGTTTAGTGGCACTTCATATTGTAAAGCTCTGCAATCACTCAGAATCTGATAAGGAGCTAAAGGGTACACTAGCCATTTGCTCCACAAGCTTAAGACACAGCATCAGCATGTGGAAATCTGAATGTTCTGATTGTGGACACAGTTTACTACATGGACGTTTAGGCTTATGACATCATATTTAGATATATGTATGAGTCCTCATCCTGTCAGTGTTGTCAATGGCACAACCTTCATCCACTCATACATTTATACAGTTGTACACTGCATGTTCATTGTTATGTAAAATCCCTTCATCGAATCTCTTTTCATCTCTTCCACAAAATGTCCACACATTAGCAGAGCCAATCTTCTTTTTCTGCTCAATTAGACCTTCATTTAACACCCAGCTGCTGCTGCATGGACTTCCCTTCACATCCACACAGAGCAAAAACAATGTTTTAATAGTGTAAAAAATAAAATAAAAAGTGTGTAATGAAAAAGAAAGCGATTAGAGCAGGGGCTCAGTGCAAATAGAGGAGCCTACTGCGGTTGAAAGCGTGATAATTAGACATTCCTTTCTGTGTGCGCCAGCTACACAGATTCACTAATGTGCACTGTGCAGCCGCTCTACAACCGAGAAGCTTATGTCCATGCAATGAGGCACCCACCGGCTAAATTTAACTTTTACAAAAGCAACCTCGCCTCAAACACTGTTTCCACTGCTGCCAAAAACACAGATTTAGGAATATGTGTGCAACGTGAATTCATGTTAGGTAGGAACATTGGCATGAGCCTCTTTCAGTCTTTTCTCCTCTCTCTGTCCTCCATGTGAGTGAGACCAAGGAGGAGTCTGTGTGTGTGTGTACATTCACATTTAGCTATTATAAAGCACGGTGTTGGTTTACATCCTCAGAATTTCAATATGAAAGAGAACAGCAAACACTGAGTCAAGGATCAGACCTGTCAATGTCTTGATTTCACCACAGGGGGCAATAAGTACTTTTAGACAAAACTACAAAAATCTGCGCTTGCTTCTTAAAACATCAAACTTCTATGACAGATTTAAAAGAACATGCCACTGTACATCACTTTACTCACATCTCCATTAACAAAAATGACAATAACCAAAATTCATGCAGAAATGCTGGCCATCACAGTCAAACACATTTACACCTCCAGTAAACATTTCTATTTCTATATCTGCATATCTAATATGATATCAATAGATTTAGGGAAGGGCATTTAAGAAAATGAAGCTGCATGTCTGACCTTGGTAAACCTCAGAGGGCTGGCAGAAATTGAAAAACCCATCAAATAACTGTTCAGTCACACTGCATCTAAACCTCATCCATCAGGATGTCAAACAGATTATAAGTGGAAATGGAGAGCAACAAGTTTGGGAAACTTCTGCAAAACTTACGCAGAGACTAGAGCAGTAAGTAACGCAACCCACTGGTAAGATTAGAGCATAGAATTATGCAGCCTTATTAAAGATCTTAATATTTTCGGCTGATTTGAAAGGTTGCTAAAGTGCACTCAGATTTTTAATAATCCTGAGAAAGTTGTAATTGTTTCAGAGGATGTGGGTAGTACACTGAAATAGCCATTGTTAAACATATCAATACTAAAAGAAAATGCATTGGTATACCAGTTGTAAATGATTCTCACATTTTCAATGAACAATAAACTTTATGATTATAATGTGATTATGCCATAGAAACAAGCACATTTAGAGACAGACAAATGGAATTGTTAAATTCTTATTATTCTCTTAATAATAATAATAATGTCTCACTGCTAACGTCTCATTGCTGTGCTTTGACTTTCTATGATTGTATCAAGTGATTTATGAAACCAGAAGTTTTTTTTGTGGCGCTACAAACAGCGTTTTCTATGGAAACATAATAGGGTGTCAAAAATCTTTTAGCTACAGGTAAACAAATGGCTCTTCTGTAATACCTGTGGTTCAAGTGTGGTAGCAGATTGTACCCAGTCAAGAATCCACCAAAAATGAGATTTAAATTTTTTCTCATGTACAGCAACTGTTATCAGTTTTATTTTGATACCACTAATGGATAAAAATCTTTTCTGCATATAAAATATGGACATGTGAGTCTTCACATGTTCCCCTGCAGTGTTGTTTCAAAACCAACAGTGAATGGTTAAAATTACATAACGTTCTGGATTCCAAACGGGAAAATGCAAATCCTTTCCCCCAAATCAAAGTCCTAATTGGAGATCTGCATGATGAATGTGCAAGAAGAAAACCAGTATCGAACTACACACCCGGGAACAGACAGCGACAATAACAGATCAGGTGACGTGGATCGTTTTTGTTATCCTGCCTTCTTTTCAAACAAAACCAACTAGCAACTTAATCAAGGTCAAGCCACATTGATACACTGCGCAACAAAGGGCTAAATTAATATCAAATCTTTGCACAGGTTTGTGCTACAGGTGAACTGTATCTGCAGTATTATTTGGAACTGCTGTAAAGGTACATAATCCGTTCTCAAGTAGTGTGAATATTCTAATTTCCCTTCCATTTTTTAGTTTTACCAGCTTTACTTACGCACACGCTTTTCTTACACACACTTATTAATGTCAGAGTGGAGTTAATTGATCCAAAACTTGAACCTACCTCCGTCCATCACATGTAGACCAGCCAAATGATAGGACGAGTCGACATTTTTGTTTTTGGCTCCCCTTTTCAAGACGTGACTCGTGCTGTAACTGCAACTGTAATCCTGATTTTTTTAAAAATAGGACATGCAGTCTAAAAGTGTTATAACGGAAAAGCACCTTGATCCACCACAGCTGTGTAAATGTCGAGTACTGAGTCCTCCAGTGGATTTATGGGCAACAAGCTCACTGCACGTCATTCAAAGCATGATGTGGGAGATCCACTCTGCGCGTATAACAGCCCAACTATAAAACCCACAGTCACACAATCAGACACAAACCTGCCGCCTCAGGTTCTTTCGTTGCGCTTTTACGCACATAGGCTTTGGCCGCGACGCGAAATCACCTCCTATTCTTATATAGGTTTGTTGATCTCACTGCATATATAAGCACCACATTGTACTACACTGGTTGTTTTATCGACTTAGAAACACAAGACTCATGATGTTGCATAAAACATGTATTTTTTCCAGCCCTCTGTGGCGATGATCACACGCGCTAAAATCAAGAATGGTTGATCGAATTGAGAAGACAAGAGAGAAGGCTGCTCCTGGGCAAATATAGACTCACGCAGATCTGCACATCAAGGTTTTTAGCACAGATGAAATAAAGAGGATAATTGTGAGAAACCAGTTGTTATATGAGGACAGGAATAAAACGATATGGACTCGCTTTTATCCAAAGCGCATTAGAGTGCCATGGGCGCATTCAATAATAGCAAATCGTTTGGTATTTCATTAGATACACATTCAAAACATAATTGGTCAAATCGTTGAAAGAAAATCCTGAGAAATAAGAGTTAACAATGCTTATTGCACCGGATATTTTCTGAGACAGCGCGCAATCAACTGTAGGTGCGGGGTGGCTGGATGTATTTTGTTGAAAAATAAAAATGATAATGACATTAAACGATTCTGCAGTACAATTAGATACTGAGACAATTTGAGCTGTGGATGCTCAGGATATGAAATAAACCACAAATAAAGTTCTGCTGTTCGTCCAAGATGCGCCTTATAGGCAACTGTGGATCAAGCGTAAAACATGTCGTTGTCCTTGTGCGCATCATGCAAAGCTTGCCGGGCAGTAGATATTGGCGGGCCAGTTTTCTACGCCATATCTCAGACGATTACTTACATCAAATATTTTATCAACAGTCACACAGACCTGGGGTGCTCTGAGCACAAGTTAGATCTACCTGAAAATAAAGTTACACACTTTTGTCACCAGGGCAGACAAGAATACTTTGAAATGTCTTTTTAAGAAAACACTCAGAATATTATTGTAATGATCGACGTTCCATTTTTCGGCGTTTTACGCGCTGAAGGATCATGATTACAGGTGTCGACATGGCTGTGTGAGCAACCCGGCGGTTAGACAGTCCAGTATACGAGAAGTCTCAGGTTTGATCCCTGGCACCAACTAGTTCCTCCTGTCGGAGTGTCCTTGAGCAAGACAGCTTATTCAAACCTGTTGTCGGCTTGCTAAGTCGGAGGAATAGGAATGCGTGTTCTATCTTCTGGTTTGGGAAAGTCAGGTAAACCTGCTGGTGAAATATCGATTCCTTTGGTTTTATCCATAAGGGTAAATATTATTCAGTTATTGGCTTACCTGCTTTCATGCTGTCATGCTGGTGGCGTCTTTTGGTCCGTTTCATCGCAGCGTGGCTGCATGTCTGAGGACATGCTTCTGGAGACAGGTTTGGAGACGAAAAGCGCCTCGACTGCACTGGAGAAAGTGGAAAGGTGGGTGTGTTTGTTTGTGTGTGTGTGTGTGTGTGTGTGTGTGTGTGTGTGTGTGTGTGTACGAGAGAGGGAGGGAGAGAGCGAAAGAGCTATAAGAAGTAGGCTGGCATTTCGATAATGACAGTCGTTATATGCCTTTTAGATTTGGGGAAACCGGGCTGAGCGTTAGTCACAAGAGCAGCAACGCTTGATTAAAAATAGAAATAGCCCAAAACCTTAAATTCCATTAATGCGTCAATACGCCAATTAAACCTCATGCCAGCATGATCAGACATATGCCACCAATTTTCAAAGGAAATCAACTCATTTAGCCTATGACTTTGTTCAAAGTACGGACACTTTTTCTTATGTAGCCTATTCTTTGTGTTTTTATAGGCCAATTAACGGCGATTTCATTCATCTTTCACTTGTTAGTAGAAAAACAAGTTGGTTTGACTGCGGTATTGGGAATGTGTGGGTAATAGGACAGTTTCCATTCAGAAAAAAACATGCAGAAATTACAGCCGCTTTCAGCAGACTTTTTGGTTTCAGCACCGAGGAGAGCGCTGATTTGGAGAGGAGAAAAAGGCAACATTTAACTCTGAAAGATCGTTGTCATGTAAGCTCCACTGAGGGACACTATTCTTTGTACCACCAGCCTGTTGTGTCATCCAAAGCACGATGCAAATACGCCAAACTTAATCATTCAAAGTGAATTCCCAGTCAAACGAGGGGAAATCTGCTAGTGGGAAGGAGACAAATCACAAAACCCTTTCAGTTAATTTGATACATTTCTAAAAATTAATTTGAAATGGGAATATTTAAAAGTACAGAAGACTTTAAATATTACATTTCATGATTTGTTCCTTTTTACATGAATTTGGTCCGGCAGGGACCCTGTTGATTATCTGAACACATGGCCAAGAAGACCTGCTTTTCGTCACGTTGTATACATTGTGTGCCCTGAGCTGCTCTCCGTCCTCTCTCTGGGGACAGCTGCTAAAGCCAAATGTCTCGTTTTATCATAATTGGCTGGCACTTATTAAGATTTACCTGCTTAACACTTGTTTGAAAGGAGAATTTATTAAAACATTGCAATCGAAAATAGGGCTGCTGGTATTAAAGGTTTAGTGGGATTTGACATTATTTAGTATTTACTTTTAAAACTTGCCACAGAGCCACGATTGTTATGGAAAATAAACATAGGATGGGAATGTTTTACTGACATCTACTGGGGAAATATTCTCAAAAGACCTGAGCTCTCTCTCTCTCTCTCTCTCTCTCTCGTGTGTTTGAGTGTGTGTAGGCTATGTGTGTGTAGGTCAGCTGTCTGCCCACAGGAGGCAAAGTTAAAGCTAGTTTCATAAACAGTCGGCCCTCTTCCCCCAGTTCCACACACCATACTGATGGACAGGTAATACCAACTTTATTTTAATGAAAATGCTCCCATAACAGTTATTGCAGGCCCCCTCCCATCTCAAAATGCTATCACTCCAGATTTCATCCTATGGCGGTTAAGACTTTTATTTGTTTTCACATTTGGAAAAGAAGCCATTAGGCACAGTTTGACTGGTGCCATCCTGAACTTTAGCTGTCAATTAAAATGTATCAAGTGGCAGTGGTTTGGGAAACACATACATAATGTACTTGAATTATTTAACAATGTGGCTCCTGTGGCAACTGGATATTGGTATTTGGTATTTGGTATGCTGAAATGCGGAGAGGTTGCATGTGAAGTAGGATGAAAATAAAAACTGAAACAGATGATACAGGGGGAAAAAGGCTGTTGACACATTTTTAGATATTTTAACTTTGATATAAAGCATTAATGGCTCATGTATATTCTCCAGGCAGGGCAATATGTTATTAGCACCACAGTTAACTTGTCTGTTTTCATTACTAAATTCCATCTGATGACCAGAGCCAACAAATGTGTTGGGTGACAATCAAAACACCCACCACATGCTATAGTTATTCCTTTTCACATCTGAAACACACGACTCATGCACACATACTGTTTATTATTCATATGAGCGTGTGTGTCTGCCTTTTCACTGTAAACAGGCACCTAAATGGCCATGGGCGGATCATGTGTTGCATATGCACCTGTGTAATGCTGATCATCAGGAGAGCCTCAAAGGCCGGCACCACAATTAGTTGAGGAAGATCCCAGTTTTTAATGGACTCGCTATTGCCAAAGTAAGAGAGACGCATTGAACAAAGAGTTATCTAATGCATCATCCCGTGAATGGCAAATACTTCAAAGTGCATATATAAAATTGAGTGTTCATGTATTTTTCTTTTATGGCTGCAGAGAGCTGTCAAGGCCGCAGTGTGCCCCTGCTTCAACCGGTCACATCATAATCTTTTGTGTATTCAGTTCCTGTCCTTATATCAGGGTGAAACAGCTCATCTGTTGCTTAGTATTCTATTATTGCATCATGTATGATCCAAAGCCTCTGTGTACCTACTTGTTAAAGTGTTTTTTCCACATGTCTAATGTATGGTATTTGCACTTTTAGTGTCGCGCAAACCTCGTCAATCACACTAAGCAAGAGGCAATTCAAAATTCCACACATAATACATAACTGTTTAAAAAACACAATGAATTTGGCTTTAACATAAATTTGGATATAATTTTCCTTGAAAGAATATAATTTACATTAAAATAGATTTCAGATTTCAACTTTTGTCACTTCTTAAAAACCAAGGTCCTCTGCAGTGTTTATTTTCTTTGTACCCTCCCCTTAACTTATAAAAGAACTCTGACATCATCCACACCACTGGCCACAGTAACTCAAAATAATATAACAATAATATGGTACAACTATTGTAACCATTCATTGTAACTTACTATGACTAATCATGAAGTATTTTACATATTATACTTCTTTTCAAGCCTTACAAAATATATCTTTTATACAGTCCAATGTCAAAAAACAACAAAATTTGGTGACGTAAGAAGTGGTTGCCCTCTTGTATTTAATGCTGTTGTACTATTGGCATCAACATTCCTTAATTTTTCTGTATCTTTTCAAATTTTATTTATTTGTCCTTTCTTCAACTTTCCCTGTTTTGATTGCATTTATTGCAGATATCTATCATGTATAATAATAATAATAATCATAAATCTTAAGCACATTCTTTGATTCAGCTCACGTTATTGACTAAGTGGTGTTTCTCTGTCTACCTTTAGTTTGTGGACTATCATTTCATTTCATTTCATTGTGTTTTAGAATGATTTAATAATATATAATAAATTACCTTGATAACTTGATACATGATGTCTTCATCTAATGTGATTTCTCCTCACCCAGTCATAACGTTCTCTTAGTTTAACTACTTCAAGTGCTCTCCGCAGTCAGTGGGAGTTCAGATTACTGAGTGCTTATTGATCATTGGGCTGTCAATCTATGTGAACAGCTGTCTGGAAGGTTTGAA